AAAGCAAACTATTCTAGTCGAGAAAATGAAGTGGATCTCACATTATTGTTAGCTTACAAGGTGAATAAAGCGGAAAAAAGAAAGCTTAGTATTTGGATACAGAAACAAGCAACATATGTGCAAAAGAAGAAACATGTTCGTGAGCTTGATGAATCAGTAAGTGGCAATATTACTTTTGGAGATGAATCCAAGATTTCGATGAAAGACAAATGTAAAATCTTGATCCGCTTTAAGAATGGTACGCATTAATTTATCTTAAATGCCTATTATGTGCCCAATATGAAGGATAACATTTTGAGTTTTGGACAATTCTTAGAGAAGTGCTATAATATTCATTTGAAAGATCATAATTTTTCAATAAGAAATCAAAAAGAAAATTTGATTGTCAAAGTCCCTATGACAAGAAATAGAATGTTTTTATTGAGCATTCAAAATGATGTTTCTAAATGCTTAAATGGATGTTTTAAAGATTAATCTTAGCTTTGGCACTTAAGATTGGATGTCTTAATTTTGGGGGTTTTAAGTTGTCAAGTAAGAAGAAGATGGTAAAATATTTACCCCCAATAAATCATGTCGATGCTCACTTGTGAAGCATTTGAGGAATTATTTTCCAAAAGAAGCATTTAAAAGAGCTAAGAAGCCGCTAGAGCTTGTACACTCAAATGTTTGGGGGCCAATTAATCTGAGCTCTCGCGGTAAGAACAATTATTTTGTTCTTTTTATTGATGATTTTAGTAGAAAGACTTGTTTATTTTCTCAAACAACAATCGAAAGCTTTTGGAACTTTCAAAAGAAAGTGGCTATAGCATAAAAGTGTTTGAGAAACATTGTGAGGATAATGGAATTCGTCGTCTATTGACGGTACCATACTCTCCACAACAAAATAGAATATTCGAAAAAATAGATACATTCTTAACATGGCCCGCTGCATACTCAAAATTAAGAGATTGCTAAAAGAACTTTAGGCTGGAGATGTTGATTACGTTGTGTATCTGCCTAATTGATTATCTTCTAGAAGTGTGTGGAATAAAATACCACAAGAAGCATGGAATGGAAGGAAGCCTTGCATCTCTCACCTATGAGTACTTGGGAGCGTTGTATATGCTCACGTGTCGGATCAAAAGCGTAAAAGGTATGTCTTTATTGGCTATGACTCTCACCCCAATGGCTATAAGCTGTATAATCCAAGCAAGGAGAAGATCATCACAAGTAAAGATGTTGAGTTCGATAAAGAAAGAGCTTGAGATTGAAGTGTCCAAGAATAAGACTCTGACTTCTTGCCTTTCTTTATGGAAGAAGAGCAAGAGAATGGAGAATAGCAATAGCCTACTAATCCACCAGCATTACCTACTCATGGGATGCTTTACCATCATCTTAGCAAGGAAGAAGTTCAAGCGAAATGAGTGGATGAGGAGCCTACAAGAACTCTATGAGGTAACGGAGAATCAAAATGATCTTACATTTTTTTGTCTTTTTACCGATAGGGTATGAAGAAGTGTTGCAAAGTAAAAGATAGATAGATTCCATGGATGAAGAGATCAATGCTACTGAGAAGAACGACATATAAGAGTTGATGACTCTTGCCAAAGGAAAAAGAGCAATTGGAGTCAAGTGTGTGTACAAGACAAAGAAGAATGTTAAAGGAGATATAGATAGATACAAAGCAAGTTTGGTTGCCAAAGGCTGTTCCAATGGCTTGAAATCGACTAGAGGTATTTTCACATGTTGCTCGCTTAGAAATCATAAGATTAATTATCTCTCTTGCCACTTAGAATAAGTGAAAGGTTTTTCAAATGGATGTTAAATCTACTTTCTTAAATGGTTATCTTTAAGAAGTTTATGAGGAGTAAATAATGGGCTATAAAATAAAAAGTATGAAGTTAAAGTCTTAAAACTAAAAAAGACTTTATATGTGTTGAAACAAGGTCCAAGGGCATGGAATAGTAGAATTGACAAGTACTTCATAGAAAATCACTTCACAAAATACCCTCATGAGTATGTCCTCTATACAAAGGTAAATGAGAAAGGAGATGTCTTGCTTGTTTGTTTGTATGTGGATGATCTTATATTGACAAGACATAATCTAAGAATGATCACTAAGTTTAAGAAGGTCATGGCTAAAGAATTCGATATGACAAATATCTACCTCTAATATCTTGGGATTGACAAATGGAGGATAACAACTTTATCTCACAAGAATGATACGTGAAAGAAGTTTTGATGAAATTCAACGTGGTAGATTACAAGCGTGTATGCACCCTATCGAATGTAGAACCAAATTGTCGAAACATGGAGGCGAAAGAGTGGATCCAACAATCTTTAAGAGTGTTGTTGGAAGTTTAAGATATTTGATGTGCACAAGACCAGATATCTTCTTTGGATTTGGGCTCATCAGTAACTATATGGAGACACCCACCATGACCATATGAAGGCTGCAAAGAGGATTCTCCGCTACGTCAAATGTGCACTTGACTATAGCATGGTCTATTCATCATCTAATGAATTCAAGCTTGTTAGATATTGTGACAGCAATTGGGGATGTTTGTTTGTATGTGGATGATCTTATATTCACAAGACATAATCTAAGAATGATCGCTGAGTTTAAGAAGGTCATGGCTCAAGAATTCGATATGACAAATAACTATCTCTAATATTTTGGGATTGACAAATAGAGGACGACAACTTTATCTCACAAGAAGGATACGTGAAAGAAGTTTTGATGAAATTCAACATGGTAGATTACAAGCGTGTATGCACCCTATCGAATGTAGAACCACATTGTCGAAACATGGAGGCGAAAGAGTGGATCCAACAATCTTTAAGAGTATTGTTGGAAGTTTAAGATATTTGATGTGCACAAGACCAGATATCTTCTTTGGATTTGGGCTCATCAGTAACTATATAGAGACACCCACCATGACCCATATGAAGGCTGCAAAGAGGATTCTCCACTACATCAGATGTGCGCTTGACTATAGCGTGGTCTATTCATCATCTAATGAATTCAAGTCTGTTAGATATTGTGACAGCAATTGGGGTAGAGACACTGATGAAGCAATTGATCGTGGTGCAATCTACATGTAAAGCTGGATATATTGCAGCTACATCAAGTGTTTACCATGGGATTTGGTTAAGAAACTTGTTGAAGACAATTGGAGTCTTAAAAGAACAACCTACAGAGATCCATGTTGTCACTAAATCAGCATTAGCATTGGCAAAGAACCCAGTATTCCACGATAGAACAAGCATATCTATACAAGGTATCACTTCATAAGAGAGAGTATTGAAAAGAAAGAGGTACAACTAAAGTATGTAACCTCTCAAGAGCAAATCGTCAACATTCTCACCAAACCACTCAAGCATGAAGTGTTCCGCAAACTAAGAACTCTACTTGGAGTAGTAAAATCAAGTACTTGATTTTGGGCTAAGTAATATGAATTTAAGGATTTTGCTCTTAGGCCAAATTCACTTAAAAAAAGCCCAACAAAACTTAGCATTTCTAGAAGCTTCTTCTAGAAAAATATATATAAATATCTAACTAAAAGATGTGGCTATAAATGTGATAATGTGTCAAGTAGAATATGTGATTTTAGAAGCTCTATCTAGAATATTCTTGAAAAATATGTAGTCCAAATGTATGAAAATGAGTGCATCTAAGTGACAATAAGTGGATAGTATTAGAATGAGTGGTGAGTAAGGTATCCAAGTAAGCTATAGAGATCGTGATTATTAAAGGGACAAGTAACCCCTTTAATATGTAGTCTAGAAATCTTATGTAAACCTTATATAGAGGGGTATGATTATTCCATTTTGAAAACAAGCCAAGTGTATGAGTTTTGAAATTGAAAAGTACGAGTCTCCTTTGTATTCACCCACTTTTCCCTACTAGTGTTGTTCTTCCTAAAAGCCTTAACAAATCCAAGTTAATAAACCCCCTTTTGCCTCCAACATATTCATTTGCATATTCCTCCACCAGAACCACCTACAATCCCTTCACCTACACCCCATTGTATTCCTCTACCTTTGCCATCCTCCTCATCACCACCATCATTTCCTCCACCAGTGCCATCTATCCTACCACCCATACCACTTCCAATTCCAATTTGCCTATTCCTCCCCCTACATTACCATCATTTCCTTTGTCTATTCGTACACACTTCCACCACCAATTAAGCCCCAGTTTGGTAGGCTTTTTTTTTATATAAATATTGTTTTGAATAATGAATTTTTGGAGAATGTATAGTTAAAAAGTAGGAAAATGTTTGGATTTACGTGTAGAAATTTTATTATGTGAATGTGATTGAAAATTAGTATGTAGAAAAAAGAGTTTTAAAACAATGGGAGACAAACATGGGCTAAGTTAAAAAGATTCATATATTGGATGAACTATATTCATGTGATGTAGTGATGTTCTTTATAAACCTCATGCTCTTAATTGAATAAAGAGTTCATCCATTTTTTTAGGATCCAATAATCTAAAATTTAAAACAAAAAGTTGATAGACTCTTGAACTTTAGAGAGCCAACACACCCTTTATATTACCTACTGGTGATTTCATTTGTTCTTTTATAGTTTTCTAGCACATATATTTTGAGAGAAAATAATAAAATAAAAAAGAGATGCTAGGTAAGAAAATGTTGACACACAAATGCTAATGAAGAAAATCAAAATAAAAAAGAGAACTTCTACTTCTGATTTTTAAATAAGCAAAAATGTTTTTCAAAATAAAGAGACACATTTATAAGTAAATTTTATTTACTTTAATAAAAAAAAATGAGCGCTTCAAAACAACCAAATTAAGAAACTAAAATTGAACTCGAGACAATACATAAAATTAACCAAATTGAGAAAAAAATCGAGCATCCATCTGATATTGGATCACAAATTTGAAATTTTTTATAAACAATGGCACGCTTCACTTTGTACAAACCTTGTGGTTCATCACTTTCAATTTGTTCCAACACCTCAAATTCCGATATCCCCAAAAGGAATTTCAATATTTATACAATATCTGCAATCTCATTGCTATTCACTAGGTTTAGAACATCAAGGGTGTTTTGTTCTTGATCAAAATCAGCACCATCAGCAGATTCAATTTCCTCACTTGATGTTTCATCCTCACATTTTTCCAAATTTCCAAATTTCTCTATACTTATATTCGTTCCATCTCCGTTCTCATTCGAAGTTACCGTAATTATTTCATCATAAACCCTAAGCAGAAATAAGCCCTTTTTATTCGTCGTCTCTGGTAGCTTTTCGTTCCGCTTGAACATTCGCAGATGGACGCCATTGATTTCTTCAGTTATGACTACCATCTCTAACACACACAAAATCACGGATTTTATATATTTTTTTGGGAGAATTTGAACTGGAATGGTCTATACATATATATATATTGATTAGGGTTTTGGCAATAGAATGAGGAATTGGGTGTGATAGTAGTGCTATAAAGTGAATCAAAAACATTTTCCGTTTGTAGATCCTATAAATGTTTTGCTAATATGCTTTAAATCAAATTTCAATCAATCAATAGATTTTGCTTATAATTAGATAATCGTTATTTATATTTATTATAGAAGAAATGGGAATTGGGTAGGATAGTAGTCTTAAAAGTGAATGAAAGACTTGCTTGTAAATTAATTATTTTTATGAATGATTATTATATATATTCTCACGATTTTAATTATAATCTATAAATATACCACATTGGTTCTCAATAAAATATAATCGATTATATTAACTATCTGCATTCTCTTCTCTTTTGTTTTCTATTCAGCTTATAATACGTTATCAACACGAGTTCTCAGTCAATTCAGAAAGAATAAAGGGTGAATGTTTTCAAAGAAAATCATCAAAATCTAGCCAATTGAATTTTCAAAATAATCTTTTATTTCAACCCATAGAAATTGTTGTATTCAAATTGCATAAAGACAAACTCAATATATGTTATTTAATTTGATATATATAAGTTGCTTGAATGTTATTTATTATTATTTCATGTTATTAAACTCAAATTAGTTACAACTCTTATCAAATTAAAATTCTAATATATATTGATATTAAGTAGGGCAAAGGCCAAAGGTTTACCAACATTTGGAAGATTCAACACGACATACGGAGAAAATTTTGTTTTGTTCTGCACTAACTCTGATGAATCACTCAACTTTCGTAAACATATATTTTCTTCAATTAAAGTTATTAAATTATTGTTGATTTACAATATTAGTCATATTCATTACATAACATAACAAGCATTCTTGAAGTTATCGGTATAGCAATGGAGAATGATCATATTTTCCAAATCAAAGTTGTATAAAAGAACAACATATTGCCAAATACAATATGAAATAATCTCCTTACTTGACCCATGCTCGACTATAACAAATAGAATATGAGAAAGGATAAAATGTGATAGATTATGTCGCCAAAGCACTGAATCTTTGAATAGTGTTAGCACCGAATCACTATTCAAACAATTTATGTCCCTAGCATCCCATGATCCCCTAGCAATATAACATATCTTAAGATGAATCTCATTGAAGATGCAAGATTACAATTGATCTTGTATTCTTTGTTGTTGAATAAGGCTAAGTCTAGTTGGTTGAAGAGGACATTGATGGTGTCAAATTGACCCCTAAACCTAATTCAATCAAGAAAAAAAAAAA